CAGGCCCCAATAATACAAGTCGTCTGATTTAAAAAAATGAAATAAAATAAAACATTTTTTTTCTCCAACCGGATGCGCCCGTGCGTCATCCCGCACACTTGACAGCCGTGTCGGCGCTCAGTGCGCCAGTGTGTAACGCTATAGGCTGGAGGGAGGCAGCTGTTGCCATTATTTTAACCAGCCAGCTCAGATCCATCTCCGAGTTCTCCCCTCCCCTGGACAGAAAGAAAAGATGACTCCGTCCACGCCATCATAAACATACGACAACTGAAAGAGATTCTTTAAAAAGTGAAATCAAATGGTACAGAAAAGTAGTAGTATGTCCAGGACGCCTTCGACCCCAAACCAGGAGATCCCAATGGGCATGATCGACCACCATCCGCACACGCAGGTAAGACCCCAGAATGAGAGGGAGGGGAAAGATGATTCAATTTTCTGACAAAAAAAAAAAAAAAAGCTAATAATTCTGATTTATTTTTGACATTTTGGAGTCAGGAATGAGCTGCTTTTTAAATGCGCAAAGCTGTTTCACTTCTGGAGATTAACAGGTTGTTCGGAGCTCCGGTCGCTTGATTCGCCTGTCGCTCATTTAGCATCAATTGAATCAAAAATAACTGACGGAACAATAACATCCGGGTGGTTTTATTTAGGGTGGCAGCTGTGTTGTGTGTTTTCTTTCCAGTTTTCCCTGTTTTGTTTTTCAAATTATCTTCGAGATGTAAGACCGTGATGTAACGCTTGAGACTGATTCTGAGGAAAACCACACCTTTGTTTAATTAATGTGTTATACCCCAAACAAACTGCTGATCTGATCAAATGGAAAACACTTGTTGGCATCGGGAACTAAAAGAGAAATGCTCAGCTTCTAAACCCGTTAAATCATAATCTAGGGAGATTAAATCCAGCGTTATTAGAATAATAACACTTGATCCAGTTTCCTACTATTTTAGTTTCTATGCCTTTTCAAGGTGTCAGTTTTTAAAGATTTGTGTGTAACGTGGGCATGTTTAGTCATAAGTCTTTAAACTGATGAAAAAATGAGAATATCTAGAACAAACACACCCACGCTGAGCTCAGTCATTGTCTCTCTAGAGAAGAGAGAGGAGAAGAAAAAAAAAAAACACCTCATCAGAGACAACCAGCGCTTCAAACCATGCCAAATCCTGCTCTCTCCACTTTACTCCCACTCTTACCAGCTCCCTCTCATCTCTCTCATCCCCCTCAGCTCCTTCCAGTTCTTCCCTACAAGTGTCCCACTATCGCCATCGCATCACCATCTCACCTCATCACGTCTGTTTTTAGAAATCTGATCTCTATCTGCGGCGTGTGACTGCAGCGAGAAACAGATGGACAACCTTCTTGTCCAGGCAGCAGGGTGTTTGGTCTTATTTTGTCCTTTTAGTGTGTTTTAAGTATGCTCCTCCTATCAATCAAACGGAAAGCGGATGTTGACGTGCAGACGAGAAGCTCCAACATCCTGAGTTTTCTCGGTACTTCTGGAGAGTTGGACTGTGGGTCGAGAACTCATCCGAATTCAGAGCTGGGGGGTTCCTTAGATTAAAGATTGTGTCTGCAGGTCTGCGGTTTTAGATCTGAGCAGAATATTGGATTAGGGATTCTGTATAAAAGAGATGAAGCTGCAGAATGTAACTTTTATTTAAAAAATATGTTTTTTTAAGTCTGTTAAAACTCTCACAATGTTGTGACAGTAAAATATGAGGCAGATAATATGTTCACTCTGAGCTACTCATGCCGTCTGTACTGCTCCCTGTCAAAAACAACCAATCAGAGCCAGGAGGCGGGTCCTAGCGCTGTCAATCAATCTCATAAACATGCTCCAAAATGTCATATTAGTGGAGAAACGACTTACCATTTCATGAAACTTGTTTATCTACTGTCATTAGTGGTTAGTCTGAGCAAAGGGGGTGTGAACGGCGCACATATGGATTGACAGTGCTAAGACCCGCCTCTTGGCTCTGATTGGTTGTTTCTAATTAGCACTGGGAGCTCTTGGGAAAAGGCAGATGTGCTTGATTTTTTTTTCTCATATTGTCACGACATAGTGACGTTTCAAGAAATATGTAAAAAAAAAGAAAAAAAAAAGATACATATTTTTAATTAAAGTTACGTACTGCAGCTTTAAGAGATTTTCCAGTTAGTAGGGGTGCAGTTTTCTGGCTGATCGTTGATGAGCAATCTTTTAAAACCCTGACCTGCTGATTCTGATTTTGGACTTTTTTGTCTAAAAATGTTAAAAACGGCAAGAAAATCGCTGCTTTGGCAACAGTGGGATGTCTAATGCAAATGTGCAGACTCTGTGAGCAGAGTCCTCTACTGCTCTGCTGTGAGCAATAGTCGATTTTTAGACCTTTGTCGAGGCAGATAAGATCGATAAATAAGATCGGTTTCACATGTAAATATCGGCTGATCCCCCAGAATTAAGAAAATCGTGTTGGGCTTATCGCTGCACCCCTATGCGGGTGTTGCGCTCCCAAACCACCTGCCACCCCGTCCGTCTCTCACACCCTGCTTAATTACACTCCTAATCTGGGAGGATGTTTACCAACAGGAAGCCTCCCCTCCCTACTTCCTGTGGCATTTCTCTGCCCTTTCCTGACATGAACACAGCCACGTTCGGCTGCGGCGGCTTTTCACAGATCATCTGCGCTCCATATTGAGCATCTAACAAAGCATGAGTTAGCTTCTCCCTTTTTTCCCCCCTCAGATCATAAGTCTAATGACTCCTTCAGCTGTGATATTGCTTCATCTAACATCTTAATTGCTAATATATTTGGTGGCAATGCATCATCTCCTGCTCGACAGGCGTTCAGACACTAATAGGTTGTTGCAACCAAATGTACTTGATGCAATCAAAATCTCATTTTGGCAATGCTAATAACATCCTTTTTAACTGTGAAAATGTTAAATTTTGGTGAAATGTTTGAAACTGAGGTGCATTTATCGCTCTTTAACAAGCAGCAGCAGAAAACTGAACTGAAGATTAGTTATTTATTTATTCAGCGCCTGAGCCAGCCAGCAGTTTCAATGAGATCTGAAAGGACAGTTTATGCGGCTGATAATTTGGAACAAACTGCAAGGTTTGTCATTTATTTACATCTTTTCTTTTTTTACCTTAATAATCTTGCCCTTATAATGCACTCAGTCTAAACTGGAAGATGTATGTATACAAATACTTTCCATCCAATTTCAAAAACCTTGAGTCTTTTTTGTTTTATGAACAATATGCAGAAATAACATTTTGGAGATCTACAAAGCTGGTAGTGAGACTCGCTTTTCAGCTTTGATTAGAAGAAACGGTCATTAAAAAAGTATTTACTCTGGTTTGAATACAAATGTAAGACATTTTAGTTTCTAAGAAAGCAGCATACAAATGAAATATGTTGAAGTTACTGATTTTTATTTTGTAAAATGTGAGAAAAGGACATAAAGTGCATAAAATGAAAAGGAAAGGTTGATTTTCTGTCATTTCTCTCCATTTAAGATCTATTGGGTCATTAATTAAATCATAGGAAGTTATTTATTAAGACTACAAATAAATATTGTATAACAATAATACACAACACAGGCTAATGAACAGAAACGGCTTCATAAATAGGAAAAATCCAAGACAAACCACAAACTTTAACTAAATAAAATTTAGACTAAAAAAGGAAAATAAGAATCCTCTTGAAATTACTGTTTAAATTTACACCTGAAGATTTGTTTTCACCTATCACTTACACTAAAAGTGCAGGAAAGGGTTTCAATTGGAGAAAATTATATTTTATCTGCACTTTGAAACATTTATATGCAAAAAAACAAACAAAAAAAAAACAAGAAAAGTATGAATGAAGGGTAAAATTGAGACAGCTGGAGATACAGGTACCAGCAAAAATAAAAGTTTGAGATAATTTAGGAACGAGTGGAGCACAGGAAACGCGAGCCTCAAAGTGAAAACACTGAGGCGGGGAAACATTTGGCTGTTGTCTTTTTGTGAAAGCATACAGGCAGCTTTCATTGCCCAGGATTAAATGACTCCACTGCAGTTATTTAAACAGCGCCATTGGTACTGATGGAAATGTGACACTCACCCCCCACCACCACCTCTTTCTTTTTCCCTTAACAAGCTGAACAACAGCTAAAATGGAGGCAACGAAAGCTTATGGTCGTCTTCCGTTGCATTTGATGCAGCACTTCATCAATGCTGAGGCTGCTCTAACGATTTAGACAGCAGGAATTAAACCTTGTTTTAAAAAGATATCAAAACATTAATCTAGAATCTAATACTTTGTGTCTGAGTTTTACATGTCAAGGTTGCAAAAATGCCAAAAAGGTGAAATGACCTCCATTTATATTTTCATCTAGAATAATATTCTGATTCAAATGTCTTTGACGGGATTGTTAAAGATACCAAAAAATGCTCATTGTTTGATGTTTTGATGTTGGTAAAATCTCCTCTTTCAGCAGAATTACAAGAGCAAACATGTCAGCCAGCACAAGCTAATATTACCCGTTTAATTATTAACATCTTATGGATAGTAAGCAGACGGCAAAATATGGGTAACAAAAGATTAAGAAAAAGATTGCAGCCTTGATTTTAATGAACGGATGGTTCAGACTGAAACTGACATGACTATAGCTGTAAAAATTAAACTTTTAGAGAGAATAGAATCTTGTTTAGTCTTCAAAAGAAAACTGAATCCATGTTTATGACGTTAAAAATTTAACTTCTTGTTGAGACAGTCCTGTTTACGTTGTATAAAATGTACTTTTTGTACCCTCACACTGTAAAGATATGTTTTCCAATTAAGTCCAAAAGTGAATGAACATGCTTACATAAATTTTATTTTTGATTTATTTAACGTACAGTTTAAAATCTACTTGCCACATGTTGACATAAATAACAGTTTTGAATGAAAAGAAGTAGTTGGAAGAAAAACATCTTGCGTGTTTTACGTCTTCTCTCAAAAATCAATTTGATATAACATCAATCTTTAAACACAAAACAGGCAATGTGTATAAAAATAATAAGATTTTTATATATCTTAACTTTATTATGCTACAGCACTATTCTGAATCAATATCCTTCATTTTACCTTGATTGAATATGTTTTCTTATTTTCTTAAAAGTAAAGATTGAGGTACTCTCTTATAAAAAGCAAAAGAAAACATGGCATAGCTTTTTTTAAATGAAAAACCAGAACAGGGAAGATGATAGATCAAGTAAACCAGGAGTTTTTCCCTACAAACAAATATGACAATTTCCCTCTTGTAAAATTTTGTGGCTCCTGCATTTTGAAATTTGGTGATTGCATCTTGTGCAATAAATCTATACCCTGTCCTGACAGGTGGTTAAAAATAAAGCTGAAAAAAATAATAAAACATTATTGATTTGTCTTTAACTTTCTCATTCAATGCAAAAGTTGGAGAACAGGATTTTTGAAGATTTTCTGCGTAGGTGGACTCTGATATCATGCTCTATTTTTGCTCTTGAACAAAACAAAGTACAGTCACTCATGCATTTTGATGATGTGTCTCATATTCTCTATTCTAAAACTTACCAGAAAGTATTCACAACCCTTTAATCGTTTTTCATATCTGAAAGCTGTAATTAAATCAAAAGGTGCATCAGCAAGGTTTTCGTTTTAGTTATGCAACCGTGTCTTTGCACAATCATTTAATGTCTTTATGTATTCCTCTAGCAGATTCATTTTCCAGTCAATAATATTCAAGAATATTCCACAAAAGCCCGGCACTTTACAAGAGTGTGTCCACTAAGACAGAAAAAGCAAACCCTGGTATAAACCAGCAGGTTATTTTTAACCTTTCCATACTGGAGTAAAAATAAAAACAATCACAATAAACCCACGTTGACCCAAATCATGATCCAGAAAATATTCACAGTGTTTCACTTTTTCCACATTTTATGTTTCAGCCTCATTCCAAATTGTGTTAAATTAATATCTTTCCTCAAAATCCTACATGCTAATGTCCCATTATCAGAATGTCAAACTAGATTATTGAGTTTCTTGCTAATTTATTGGACTTAGAAAAAAATCACATTTTCTTACGTATTCCTTGCTTTGGCAGCAGTTCCAGCCTCAAGTATATAAAAAAATATATTTTTTATATTATTTGCAAAAATGTCCAAATTTAGCTTTTTGAGAAAAGAAAAACAACGATCAAATTGGTTTTGGAATACGTTTGCAATATTATAAAATGTGGCAAAAGTGCTGGAGTTACTGAGAAATTGCTTAGAAGCATCATTGAATTCCTCCTTTCTATATATATATATATATATAAAAAACATAATTTGTAGTTCAACAGAATGCTCGAGATAAATTCAGTTAATGTGTTTCCCTCATATCTGCTCCCTGTGGAAACCTTCTGACCAAGTGTGTTTGCTTTAAGGCGTTGCGACAGCCTCCTTTATGCACATTGGAAACTGTGTGACTGTGATGACAAAACACCGGCACAGGTCGCTTATTACGGGTTCCTTGTTAATCTGTCTCTGTGCAATCTGCAAGTCGAACACAGGGGACTTTGAGGCAGTTGCTCATTGCGTGTGTTATGTATGTGTGTAGGAGATCTGAAAGGATGACTGGGTTACTGTAAGAAAGTGTGCGCATTCAGTTGTGCATGAATATAATTGCCTCTCAGGGTGTGAGTAATAAACCAAACGAAGCTTACGTTAAGAATTTGCCTGTGAAAAAAAAATATGCGAGGCCCCTGTTATGAATAATTTCTGCTAAAATGCATTGTAGGCTGGTTATTTTAATGCTTTACATTTGTGCATGACTCATTTTAGGTGCAGGAGATTTGTGTAAACAAGATAAAATGTACTCCCGTCATGCTGTTTTGTGTGTAATACACCTTATGGCTCAGAGCTGGAAAAGCAGGGGGCATCTGGATTTGAACCGGAGACCTCTTGATCTGCAGTCAAATGCTCTACCACTGAAACATGAACCCACCAGGGAGGAAATAAAGCCATACCTGGATGAAGTGCATGCTGTTGCTGTATTGATCCATTGTGTTTGTTCTTCACCAGCTGTCCTCTTTTCATGCTTAAATAGGCGGCCCCCTAATTGTCGACAAATATGATTAGTCTGTATTGTGTAACCATGACAATAGGAGCTGGGGATATGTGGCCTCAGCCTAACCCGGAAAGGCCAGCTGCCAGAGATCTACCAATCAGATTACAGCATCTCAGTTTGAATCGCATGAAAAATGGCGAGTAATAGATGGCGGTCATGAAGGCTGTGGGCACATTTTCTTTGGTTGACTTCCTCTGTGGTCTGGGACTCTTGCCGCTTTATCTCTTGGCTCCATCTGACTGCCTGATCGTTTTCAGAGGCTTTTTACAAATGCTCTTCCAAATGTTAATGGCCATCAAGCTCCCCGGAAACGAGGGTTTCTCAGAAATGTGTCAAGTTAATTATGAGACTGATGGATGATTCAACTTTCTTTTTTTTTTTTTTTCCTCAATCTTTTCAGGGAAAGTACGCCAAGAGGAAGAGCCGATTTAAGCGCTCAGATGGGAGCACCTCTTCTGACACCACCTCTAACAGCTTTGTCCGACAGGTAACATTTCACACATAATCTCCTTACTTTCTGCCCTACTCCTTAATTAGGAAGCCTTAAATTTAATATAATTAAAGTACGGGCTTCTAATGCCAAAAAGTCAGCGATTTAATTTAAATATGGGCAACTTTCATCTCTTTTCTGCCGAGTTCTTTAACAGGTCTTTAATGAATTTTTGTCCTAAGTCATTCATTAAATTATAAACTAGCAGAAGTATCTTAAAGTCTATTCTCTGAACTACAGGAAGTGTAAGGAGTTTAAAACTGGGGTGATGTGCTGGTTGTTTTGTCCCTACATGGTTGTATTCTGGGTAAAAATAACCAAAACAAACACGGGAAATAGAAAAGACAAGACAAATCCTTTTTTTTTTTTACATTTTGTGAAGAGGTTAGTGTCTTCTTCTTAGGTTTTCATGTCGTTTACTGCAGTGGTTTTTGATGCAGCACCACCGCAGGCGGGGAGGGGAACAGTTTTTTTTTAAATGATTTGGGTAGTTCGACACAGTAGTAAATCGCATCTGCTGAAAATGTAGCAAATGTTGCAGTTTTGGTTCCGAGTCTATCGAAGTATCAGGTTTTTAATCATAATTTGTACCTGAAACTAAACATGATGGCAGTCAGAAATCTCCTGGCAAGTGATGGCAGGAGAAATCAACAGCAAAAAATAAATAAATGCTTTGCTGGTTTGCCAGATAAAAAATAAACAACCAACCATATGGTAATGTTTTCAGGTTGATCATATTTTTCTACATTTTTTGTTTGTCTTTTTGGCAACAAGAACAGTATATGGCTCACTCTTGCATTATTTTGAATATGTTATTAATAGGGATGCCCTGGTCTGAATTTTAGTAAAAATTATTGTATTTAGAATAAATCAAATCAAATTAAAAGCAAACATTTTCCATTTTAGTATCTTAAATTTTCTGTCTTTTTCGAAAGACTGCATCCTAACATCGTTTTTAAATCTGTATCCACTGTCTGAACTGGCAAACCAAATTTAGGCTATTCTTGAATTCTGATCAAATGGCCTCCAGGCTGCTCTTTGGACACTTCTGACTTAGATATTAGATATGAGATCCTGAATTTAATCCAGAATGATCACTTCTGCTTGATCCAGACCCAGCATGCAGGTGTTTTGGTTCTGCTATCAATGCGCTCTGTGTAAACAGTAATAAATTTCCACCACAGGAAGGCTGGAGTAAAGCATCACACTCTCATCATGACCCGTGCAGCCTTCTGTGTCTGGACATGACATTTCTGAAAGCCGTGTGGTGTCATAGCTAAACGAGCCACTCTTTTTCTGTCTGACCTCTTCATTTCAGAGAGGAACTGATGTGCTCTTTGCTGTATGACATTTAACTGTTTGGTTCTGGCGCTGCTTTAGAAAATAAATAAAAAAAAATCCCATCACTGTCGGTGAACACAGGGAGCTGAAGTCTCCTGTGGTTTCAAAAGGTTAGCAGCATTCTCGCCTGCACACGCTGCCCTTCCCATTGCCGTGTCCTTCATTAACTCAGAGCAGAGAAGACGACACCCCGGCAGTAAGATAGTATTTATCTTACTATGATTAAACATACTGTAGATGATGTGTGTAATCAGCACATCCTCTATTTCTCTTGTTGCTGCATTGCATTTTGCGCTTTGCATTTTCAAAATGTATGACACATTTTTTATTTTTATTTTTTAACACACATCCAGTTTGCTCAAAATTGCCAGACAAAAATAAAACAAAACAAAACAAAACAAAAAAAAGCAACAACACCCTTTCAGGCAACATATAGGATTTTGTAAATATAGCCTTACATATCAACCGAGAGCACAGTATAGGCTTTACAGTCTCACACACGCCCACGCCAGCGCACGCTCGCTCGGCCGCATACACACAGACGCACCGGAGCCACAATCAACCGACGGCAGAGCCGGCTGGTACACACGGCCTGGTTTCTATGGCAACCGGGTTGCTGAATCTCCCCCTGTGAGAGAGCATCGGTGGGATGTGGAGACGAAGCAGAGGATGTTTCGATGGGTTTGTGTGTGTGTGTGTGTCCTTGTTCTCGCTTCTGGGTGTGAGGCGAGGGCGCGGCCTACACGCTCACACGTCTCGTAAGTTTTGTGCGACAAGTTGAGCAAAAACATGAAAAAACAGGCAAACGGCTGTCTGCCGCATGAGGTTGGACGGTTGCTTCCTGTTGCTCTGAAAGAGACCGAGGAGGCTGTCAATGAAAAAAAAAAAAAAAAAAACTTTTTCTCTTTACAGTAAATCATTTAAAAAAAACCTCACAGATTCATTCATGAAAATTAAAAGTTTCAGCTCAATTTATTATTAACTGAAATACAGAAGTGGGGGAAACTTCTACTAGATATTTCAAAACATTATATTCACAACTACAGGCTTTAGATTTTTTTTTTATTTCTTTATTTCTTTGCTTTTGTTCAAGTGAAAGGGAGGAGGAGGTTAGGCATTGAGAAACATCCCTTGGTAGGGTCAGAGGTCGCCCTCTTGTGGACAGAGTCGATCCTTGCTTCGTACTGAGGACCACAAGTTTCACTATACGGTAAAAAACGTAATTTTATAAATAATTTTATGCATCATTTACATAAAACGGTAATAAAATTGTGACGTAAATAAAATATAAATACATACTTACCTTTTTTTTTTTTTTTGCAAAAGTCCATCAGCAAATTGTTCTGGCTTGCCAAAAGACACATTTAAATAATTAAAAACATTTACATTGTTTTATAAATGTTAGTTTTTTTGTTGTTGTTTTAATAAAAATATTTTTAGCTACTTATTTAATTGGATCGTAGTACTTGATAAAATTAATAAGAAATTAATACAAAATTAATAAGATAAGATAAATAAAGATAGAAAATAAATTCTCATTGCTTGCCATGTTGTTGTGTTTGTAATTTTGTTTGTGTATTTGCTTCATTAAATCAGGTTTCTCTTGAAAATGATCTTGGGTTGAGGTTCACCGATTGCAGTTTTCTTGCCGATTACTGCGAAATTACATCAATCAGTCCCTCCACTTTTCTGCAAATTATTGTGGAAATTCATGCAAAATCAACAAACCCGTGCATTTTTTTTTTTTTTTTGCACTAATGCATAATTGTGAATTTATCACAGATTTTTGGCAAAAATGGTGAAAAATATTGGATCCAAGTGACTGGTTTCTACTAAGCATCTGCCTCAGCCTTTCTTGATTTATAATCCATAATGATGCAACAAGTAATAAAAAGTCGCATTTCCCATCATACATAAGTGCCAATATTTCAAAATTAGTACACTTTGATTTTTATTGTAAAAAATCCCCAAAAACAGTTGTGAAATCCTTGAGGAACTGAAAAGATGTTCAATATTATTTAATTTTAACAACTTATTTATACTTTAACAGTTTGTTAAGTTTTAACAATAAATTCTGGCACAACCGGCCCTTTAAGAGCATTCATGATCTTGATTTGGCCGAAAATTTAATTGAGTTTGACACGCCTGATGTAGGGTAAGCCACTGTAAACTAGTAAACTGAGCTTCATGTCTTCAGTTCCCTGAATCCCCCCGATGATTCCTCTCTATCCAAAAAATGCATAAAGGGACAAACTACAAAGTGAGAAGTTGGGGAGAATGACCTCATAGCAGAAGTTCAGAGGAAAAAAAAAAAGTGGAAGTGGGGGGGAATGGTGGTGCAAAATCCTTACCACTCCCCAGTTTTCTCTCTGTTTCTCTCTCTCTCTCTCTGGTCAGCTGGGCCTCTGAATGGCTGACGACTGCATACCAAACTTCCTTCTGGGTCTCAGTGTGTTCACGTCCCTGTTCTGTCCTGCCAGGGCTAAATATATTTACCCAGATTGCAAATGTAGCACAAGTCCTGCAACTCGACCCCCCCTGCCGCCCCTATAGCCAGCTCCAACACTGTACGCGCTCCTCGGGGGGTTGTGGAGGTGGGCGTGTGCGCGTCCGTGTGCGGCCGGAGGTTAAGAGTGCGCTCTCTTAGTTTCAAACACTTTTCTGGCTGTCTACTTTATCACACACCACCACACACACTCAATGAGACATTAACATACAGACGTCTCTCTCTCACACACACACACACACACACACACACTCGAATAGAGTGGACTCCCCTTGGTTTGCCGGGGTGCGGCAAGCGTGGCAAACGAAGCATGGAGCGGACTGAGAGGATTCCAAGGCCCGTAATGGTAAGAAGTAAAGCTTTACAACTTTGGCCACATCTGACTGAAATGGAAGGACAGAGTTTTAAAACTTCGGATATATTTCCGTTGACCTTTGACAGATTAAGTGGATCTTTCTGTGCCATCCTGGTTTGTATTTTTCTTTGCTTCCCGTCTTCCGACTGTACCAGGAGTATCCATTTTGGGCCGTGTTACAGCTGCTCAAAAGGCGCTGTGTTTTTAATTAGACCTCCAGTCCCAGTGGCTGCGTCGGTGCACCAGTCTTCCCAGCACCATCGCCATTTCAGGGGGCTTCTCCATGTTCCTTCACAGGCCCAGGTTCAGTCTATCCAGCTGTACAACCTCAATGTAAACTGGGTTTTTATACTTCTTGAAATTAGACATCGCAGATATCTGCATTTATGTTTACGATCTCATATGTTTTATGTTCCAAGCAATATATTTAAAAAGACTGAGCTCTTAAAGTAACAAGCTCAGACTACCAGCTCTCTCTCTGACTGCCATAAACCCCAAAATAGTCACATCTGAAAAGCCGGTTCTCAGAAAGAGTTGCCATATTTGTTTGTTTGACAAAACCAGTTAAAAATTCTCCACATTGTTTTGACTGAAGAGATCGGAGCAGAAATTGAGTAATTAAGTTGGTGAGCCAAATTATTATGATACCGACCAGGTTGCTAACAAGCTAACAGTGGCTGCTTTTACGCTGCCCAAGAGGTGTAACTTCAATGGATGTAACACATGACTTGTGTGATATTCGCATCACACAAGTCATGTGACCAACAACCGGATGTTACTACTGGCGGAAATAAC